ATTAATGACACACTTCATCCTATCTGAATCCTTCTGTATAGAAAATAAGTATTGTTAGTATCAGATGAGTTGCCATCTTCAAACAAAAATTCTCCCTTTATCACAAATAAATCCATCTTCTTGAACATCACATCCCTTTTCTGACTCAATGACAGACAGCCTGTGGAAGTTCCAATGAGGCTTGTAGCACAACTTAACAGGCAAATATAGGACAGCATTCTCCACAGTACCACATAATGAATCAAAAGCAAGTACTGTGGTATTAATATAAAACAGCCGGGAAAGCTTCACAAGGGCCTGAAGCGCCTCCGTCTTTGCTTTTCTCTTAGTAGTTTCTTGTTGATTAACTCTAGTGTCTGGGGTAGTATTTTGTGTGTGCTTTTCAAAAGTCTGTGCTATAAGCTCCCATCAGAGTTCCCCATATGACTCACAACACATGTTCAAAACAGGATACATATGGTTAAAACTGAACATTTGATGGCATAGTTCCGGTTGTTTTCAACACAAACTAATTACCAAGTATTATGATTCTGCTCTCAAGAGCTGCATCCTTGACATCCAAGTCCCATTCTTCCATCTTTATGTAAGCCTTGGATAAGACTTTGGGTAATTATAACCTTTGAATGCTAATCTTGGATTGACTTGATCTAGCTAATCAAGCACAACAACCAATCAGAACTCTGCATAAATGTCAAAAGTGCTCAAATATGTAAAACTGGCTGCCATTTTAAAAGTGGAATCAGATTCATAATATTCTGCTTTACTGTGGCTTAAGTGGCCAAGTATCACTGTAAGTAAACTGTAAACTTCTTATCAATCTGTGACTAAATAAAAACTTCTTATCAATCCATATTAATAACTATTAGTAGTAGTATTGGGGTAGGCTAGTGGCTAAAGCAATTGCTCCTCCAAATTTGATTGTTGAATAAAATGTGTGAACGTTATTTCTGCCATCTTCAGCTGTGATCTTGCTGAAATATTGCTAAAAGGGCATAAAACTCACTCACTCACTCACTCTAAAGATTGCTGGTGATTGATGGCCATGCTGCTCCCAGGACCAACTGAAGGGAGTGCGGAGGAGTTCTTCATCTTCCTAATCAGCAGCATAGCTTGCTTTTGATTGGTGAACTGTTTTCAGAGCAAGATATTTTGCTGTTCAGTAATCAAAGGTGACCCAAAGTCTTATTTTAGATGAAGCACACAACAGACAGAAAGGTGAACCCTTAGGTCTAAGACTCACCAACTGCTATATTAGATATAACTGTATTCATAATACAGAGTACAGTATTGTAGTATTCAGTAACACATATACCGTATTCGACGTAATAGGCGCCCACAGTGATATTTCCTAATATATTGGCTTGTGAACAATCCCAATTAGCACCCTTTCCGATTGATCAATGTACACAAGACTTATTTATTCTGGAAAAATATATCTGTTGTATATAAACATTTCAGGCTGTCAGCATAAACCACGAAATGTACGATCTTTCAACTCTGTTGTTTTTCACCAAAATAATATTCTAATAAGAGCCCCCTATTTCTAATTTTGTGAGCACCCTGGGCGGTTATTATGTCGCATATGGTACTGCTGGAACAGTTCCACTATAGTACTTTAGTCAAAATACAGCGACATAATCTTCAAACAAAATAAATCAATACTGTAAATGCTTCATCAATTACCCATGCTTCAAAAAGCACATTGTCCCCAACAAAATATTTGTAAGGACTTGCAAGAAAATATGAAGCTTGAATAATGACCTTAGTCATCATCATCTGTCAATGGTTAATCTATACTAGTACATCATACAATATTTGAAATCCAAGCTACACTGGCGACACCCCATCATCAAAACCAGTGTTGGATATAGGTTTTCTTTAACTATGAATTGTTACAAATTTTTCTCTTTTGGTTGAGTTAATTTCGAATTTCAATCTCATGGCCAAATCTCATTAAAAGGGTCATGACTTTTACTCTGATATGACACCTCTCTGTGTTAGGATCTGGGGACACCTCAACAGGACGTCACGACTGGTGCACCCTTACCAAACTTTGACCAATTTAAAGGAAGTATGCCCTTTCATAGGTTCTAAGCCAATCAGATGTCAACTTTCTAACATGATTCATCTTCATTTCTTTACCACCTTTACCAATGAAAACTCCCCCAAATGTCCCTTCTGTGGTGCTCCCTTTTGGGTGTAGATGCCATCACATTCAGAAACGACATGGTGCATGATTTGATGCTGCCTTGTTGCTCTACATACCTTGTCGTCTTAGTTCGTTTTAGAGATACAGAAATCAGACGTGCTTGTCTAAATACTTGGCTCATACCGAAAATACAGAAGCTGGCTGGCTGATTAGCAAGTTCACCCGACACCGCCTCCAATGAAGGTGTCCTCAGATCTTTACACGGAGAGGTATCGTATCAGAGTAAAACAAGTCAGTTTAATGATGTTGATAACTGACTGGACAGTTAATCTATGTATATAGTATTTGAATAAGAGTACAGGGAACTGGGAACAATTACCCAATAGTTTATAGTAATGCCATGACATTGACAATAGGTCAAATAATAATATCACTTGCTATTTTTCAAGCAGAATGGAATAAAATGGTTCTTTTGACCTTTCAATCTGATACAAGATTATGCATGATCTGATTATATCTGTAGGTTATATTGCACAACAAGCAAATACATTTTATCTGTCAACAGAGGTATTACTGTGCCATTGCTTGTTATATTTCTTTCACAATCTATGATGTGTGTAATCCTAATTCAATATTCACAACTGGACAACAAATGTTGAAAGCAACTTCATAACAATCAGTTAGTAAGTGAAAGAAAATAAAGTCCTTAATGATCTACTGGCTCCCCAATAGTCTTTTGTTTCTGGTTTCTGGGAACATCATTCTCACCCCCATCTATCCTATCTTGACCATGTTTACTCGTGTAGGGTCTAAACAAGGGCAGGTCACTCGACAAAGATTCAAATGGTATTGATACAGTTTTACCTCTGCAGTTAGATATTGGATTGATAAGTGTAATTCAACAGTCCTAATATTGTTAGCAAGACAGACCCATGCAGTTGAAGGTTGTTGGTGTTGTGAACATTGTTTGTTGTTAAACGCTGCACTATTCCAGCTAAATGACAGCAGTCTGTGAATAATCAAGTCTAGACCAGACTATCCAGTGATTCACATCATGAGCATTAATCAATGCAATTTGGATACGATGACATGCATCAACTACCCGATCCCATAGGTCGCCTCTTACGATAAGCACAGTCGCCTTTAACGACAGACCTGCAGCGACTAAGGTCAAGGACATGCTTTCTTTTCATCCCATTTAAATATGGGAAATTGTGTTGACTTGGCAAAAAGCCCAGAAAAACAACATACGAGAAGAGTTTTGGGGAGGGGCCTTGACACATCAATACAATTCATATGAGGATCGAGGGGTGGGGGCCAGCTTGCACTCCCCCTCTTTGAAGCATACTAAACATTGATAACTTGGGACTTTCTTAGGTGATTGGACTGCTAGAAGTAAATGTATAACAACAGAACTGCCAAATCACAAACTGTATTGCTCCATTTCCAAAAGATACGTCCGCCTTTATTGACGGTCAAACTTCCTTTACATGATGGTATATATAACACTGCAGTGAGATTCTACCTAGTAACACATGCAGCATTCTCTAGGGTAAGATATACAAATCATAACCATAGTGATATAATGTAGTATACACTATCACAACGCTATGAGCCTTACCTTGGTGAATGGAATCTAGTTCATTATATAGGGATTTATTACAGTTAAACACCATTGTGTTGAACTTTGATGTGTCGAACTCACGTTTGCCTCGAAGTAGAAGCTTGGTCCCTGTCCCTGTACTCCCTCTTTATTCATCAATTTTGGTTGTGTCGAAAATATTTACGTAGGTCCCTTCAACTTTGACACAATGGTGTTTGACTGTATGTTAAAGGGATAGGTATATTGAACCTCTACATATGTAACACATTATTGAGTTGGTTGGTTGTTGGGGTCTCATGATACACCTTCCTCATGTATCAATACTTGTCACAATATGATACTTAGCACAACATTTAAATTCTCCATTTTCATGCAGTTCCGCTAACATATTGTTGCTATCAACCAGTTTGTGCTGGACCAGCATGACTGGTTAAACTAGGCTCTGTCTCACAGTATAATACAAGCAGATCTAACATTTTGTTTCGTGTTTCGTGGGGGCAGGTGGTAAGGTTACACTAGCCCCTGTAATCACCATGTCGGTTATGGCAAAACCTTGTCAGGTGAGGTGAAGTGGGGTTTAACGCTGCGATCAAGGTTAATGCACTTACATAGTGACATGCACGCGTGTGTGTGGCTGCTTGTACTGGTCCGGACAAATGCCGGTCTCATAGTGCTAGCCTACTGAGATACACTGCTGTAGTTTAACATGTTAACAGTCCTTTTATCCTAATATCAAGCACCAGGCAGGGTAGCAAGTCCTATCATTTAACATATCTTGGTATGGCCCGTCCAGTGTCTCATGTATGGCATGGTCAGGTGTAATCGTGAAACATGACACCCCTATTGGTAAGTACCATCTGAATATAGTCAAATGTGATAATAGCAATACTTAAACAAATATCATTCTAGAATACTCAGTGTATGTTACTTAGTTCCATCAAGAGATATCAGTAAAAAAATACATTTCACAAGGCACTGAGGGAAGCAGGCATGTTAGAATTAACAACCTCTCGGGTAAAGATCTCATCCATCTCAGGGTCATTGTCAACAGAACATTGCTCAGAATCATACAACATGTCCTGGCGGGGCTTGTTGCTAGTGTAAGGAATGGATCATTTAATATTCTTAGGCAGGAAGGGCCCCGATTATGTTTCTAGGTTTGTCAGCACCATACCTGTTCTCCTGGGTTTTCACCGAAGTGGTAAACGTCTGAGACCTGCATCACTTCGGGGTTTCCTCCCACTCTTGGGTAGGAAGGGGTGGGGGGTGGGGGTGGGACTGAATAATTTTTAATACACATAACTTTTTATGAACCCACAACACATTTTGCAGGACTTCCAATGAACAATTACTATTACTCTACAACACTACATTTACATGTAAGCTTAAGATCCGTCTAATATTTTAGTGTAAAAGTTCAGTGTAAAAGAATGAAAGATGACTTAGTGGAACACTGTAACATAGCTTGGAGGCAGTGCATGGTCCAAACTGTTGTAAAACATGGCCATCCCCATTAGGATGTGTCGCACACTTTAAATAAACATTAATGGGATGGGTCATACATCAATATACAGATGTATCCACCACGTGTGCTGGCAGATCTCATAGTAGGTCCCAGGACAGACAGGCAGCAGGATTCACATTGTCAGATACAGCTGTCAACGGCAGACACATGCTGCCCATTACAAAGTAAGGAGGTCTTCATGCTGAACACAGGTGCTGTCATCAACCAGACCATCACACTGATCAACACTAGATGCAAGCTGCTGCAGGTATGATGAGGGAGGAGATATCACAATTGCAACTATTTCCAGTAATTAACTTTTTTACACAAACAGCAGAAGCCACAGCCATTACTATGATACTACTATAGTGACAACTGCCTTTCATTTACATTTGTCATTACTTCTAAGTATTGTTATTAATCTGATTTTTACAGTTTTTCTTGTAAACGAGTTGAAAATATATTTTATGTCCAATGATAGTCTTGTGTATAGCCTGTGCCCTGTGTAGTGTGTGTCCTGTGCTGTGTCTGTGCCCTGCTTAGTGCCTAACTCTGGTGTAGTGTCTGTCCTGATTGTGTCCTGTGCTGTATCTGTGCCTAACTCTGGTGTAGTGTCTATCCTGATTGTGTCCTGTGCTGTGTCTGTGCCCTGCTTAGTGCCTAACTCTGGTGTAGTGTCTCTCCTGATTGTGTCCTGTGCTGTATCTGTGCCTGACTCTGGTGTAGTGTCTGTCCTGATTGTGTCCTGTGCTGTATCTGTGCCTGACTCTGGTGTAGTGTCTGTCCTGATTGTGTCCTGTGCTGTATCTGTGCCTAACTCTGGTGTAGTGTCTGTCCTGATTGTGTCCTGTGCTGTATCTGTGACTAACTCTGGTGTAGTGTCTCTCCTGATTGTGTCCTGTGCTGTATCTGTGCCTAACTCTGGTGTAGTGTCTATCCTGATTGTGCCCTGTGCTGTATCTGTGCCTGACTCTGGTGTAGTGTCTATCCTGATTGTGTCCTGTGCTGTATCTGTGCCTAACTCTGGTGTAGTGTCTGTCCTGATTGTGTCCTGTGCTGTGTATGTGCCCTGCTTAGTGCCTAACTCTGGTGTAGTGTCTGTCCTGATTGTGTCCTGTGCTGTGTCCTGTGCTGTGTCTGTGCCTAACTCTGGTGTAGTGTCAACCTGATTGTGTCCTGTGCTGTGTCTGTGCCTGACTCTGGTGTAGTGTCTGTCCTGATTGTGTCCTGTGCTGTATCTGTGCCTAACTCTGGTGTAGTGTCTGACCTGATTGTGTCCTGTGCAGTATCTATGCCTGACTCTGGTGTAGTGTCTATCCTGACTCTGGTGTCTGTCCTGATTGTGTCCTGTGCTGTGTCTGTGCCTAACTCTGGTGTAGTGTCTATCCTGATTGTGTCCTGTGCTGTGTCTGTGCCTGACTCTGGTGTAGTGTCTGTCCTGATTGTGTCCTGTGCTGTATCTGTGCCTAACTCTGGTGTAGTGTCTATCCTGATTGTGTCCTGTGCTGCGTCTGTGCCTGACTCTGGTGTAGTGTCTATCCTGATTGTGTCCTGTGCTGTGTCTGTGCCTAACTCTGGTGTAGTGTCTATCCTGATTGTGTCCTGTGCTGTGTCTGTGCCCTGCTTAGTGCCTAACTCTGGTGTAGTGTCTGTCCTGATTGTGTCATGTGCTGTATCTGTGCCTAACTCTGGTGTAGTGTCTATCCTGATTGTGTCCTGTGCTGTATCTGTGCCTAACTCTGGTGTAGTGTCTGTGCCTAACTCTGGTGAAGTGTCTGACCTGATTGTGTCCTGTGCTGTATCTGTGCCTGACTCTGGTGTAGTGTCTGTCCTGATTGTGTCCTGTGTAGTGTCTGTGCCTAACTCTGGTGTAGTGTCTGTCCTGATTGTGTCCTGTGTAGTGTCTGTGCCTAACTCTGGTGTAGTGTCTGTCCTGATTGTGTCCTGTGTAGTGTCTGTGCCTAACTCTGGTGTAGTGTCTGTCCTGTTTTGTGTCCTGTGTAGTGTCTGTGCCTAACTCTGGTGTAGTGTCTGTCCTGATTGTGTCCTGTGTAGTGTCTGTGCCTAACTCTGGTGTAGTGTCTATCCTGATTGTGTCCTGTGCTGTGTCTGTGCCTAACTCTGGTGTAGTGTCTATCCTGATTGTGTCCTGTGCTGTGTCTGTGCCTGACTCTGGTGTCCGTCCTGATTGTGTCCTGTGCTGTATCTGTGCCTGACTCTGGTGTAGTGTCTATCCTGATTGTGTCCTGTGCTGTATCTGTGCCTAACTCTGGTGTAGTGTCTATCCTGATTGTGTCCTATGCTGTATCTGTGCCTGACTCTGGTGTAGTGTCTGACCTGATTGTGTCCTGTGCTGTATCTGTGCCTAACTCTGGTGTAGTGTCTGTGCCTAACTCTGGTGTCTGTCCTGATTGTGTCCTGTGCTGTGTCTGTGTTTCTTCATAATGATAGTTATTGGCTGTTGGAAAATGCAAAGAAACAAAATGTTTTTAAATACAATGGTGTATTGTTTGTATTCAGAATCATCCATCATATCTTTGGACACAATGTGTCAAACCGATGATGCCTACCACCAAACAAACAATTCACTATAGCAGTGTTACTGCTCACATGAACCATCCATTTGGCAGCTCAGTATCTGGAGTGAAATCGTCATAGCATCTGTGATTATTATTATTATGCGATTATCATCAATGTATAAGTCATGGTACATCAACATGGGTATTGACTCTTCTCATTATACAGACAAACATCAAGCAGACACACAGATGCTCGGATACAGTCTCCATGGAGACGGACAAATTCAACAAGGAAGTCCACGTCAGTGCTGAGTCACTGTTTGTTTGTTGTTAAACGCCGCACTCAGCAATATTCCTGCTATATTACGGCGGTCTGTAAATAATCAAATCTGGACCAGTCAATCCAATGATTGACATCATGAGCATCAAACGATGCAATTGGGATACGATGACATGCATCAACCAAGTCAGCGAGCCTGACCACCCGATCCCGTTAGTCTGAGTCACTGACCCTACAAACAGAACATAACCCCTATTTGTGAACACCATGGCTCCCTAGCTCCATCCCGCTCAGTCACATTCCATGGTAACCAGTGCAAGCAATGTGAACCTCGGTCCACACTGGGACATGTCCCAAGGGGCACGATAGACTATAACAGAAGACTCACAAGAAGTGAAAGACCAACTGATTCCTTCATATTACTATAGTTAACCTGTCATGCTATTACACTGTTCAACTATTCAGATGAAAAACCCTCATCAGCCAAGTCTAGTCCAAATCTTATTGTAAAAGTGCACCTATAACAAAGATGTGAAAGACTGCTTTGTGTAAAATATGAATTTAGTGCTTATCATAAAAGTCAATAAATGACAAAGAACCACAATAGATTAGGTTCAAGTCTTTGTAACAGCTTTCGCCCAAAATGTTTGTGACTACTAGCCTGAATTCGGCTCTTAGCGTAATATTCAGTAGAATTTAGTGTTATTAGAACAATTATTATTAGCTGAGCTTACTTGACCGAACAGGAGTTTACTAGACTCTGGCTTCAGACTAGCAGCTAAAGTCGCAGACTGCAGTTAGCATCTTAAATTGCATTGATATGAACTTTGGGACGGCAGTCAGTCCCAGCTCGGTAAAAACATACCATGTAAAGTTGAATAAAAAAATAAGCATTGCCATGTTTCACCATTTTCTAACTAAATAAGATTTAAAAACACATTCAGGTTCATTTTACTAAGTGAAATTATTACTGAGTACTGACTGCCTGACGCATGGTGGCACAGACAGATACTGCCGACACACTTTGATTACATGAATACTTTATGTGGACTTAGAACACTACAAAAATACTCTAAAACCTGTCAACTATTTCTCTAAGTCACCAGACATGTTTTGTTTTTTCTCAGTCTCGTAGGAAGAAAGCAAATTCAAACTTTTCAGCAACCATGACAAGATAGGTTAGACCTAGCTCCTCTGTTACCTTCCCAGAATAGAGCTCTGTAAATGGGCTATCCCAGTGAGGAGCTTGAGCTTAGGTAAGGTAAGATAAATCTTCCACTAAAACTAAATCTTTTTTCAAACGAGACCAAAATTTGATTACCTTGGATGAATCTTGTAATGATAACGAAATACTTTTTAAAACTGTTCATGGCAAGTTGGATTTGAGAAATGATCAAAATGTCTCGTCACCCCACAGAGCTTGGGCTGCTGAGGGTAGTACATCTAAATCCTAGATAACATCTTAAAAGTATTGTCAGTTTGATTTCTTGATGAGAATACATGTACCTGCAGACTTTTATCTGTATTATTTGTGGGTAGAAATCACATACTAACAGGTTAGGGCCTTCATAACAAGTGTCCAGAATACTCACAGATGGCAGATTATGTTGCGTCATCATTGCTGCATGTGGAGCTAAGCGACCCCCACAAAAGTGTCAGATAAAATGTATAATGTACAATATGAACTTGGATCATATATTTCACCAAACTTAAAAATAGTGAAAATACAAATACCCCCCCCCTTTCACCATTTCTCAACAACCAAAGCTTCAAGTTAAACCACAGAGTAAGTAAATGCAATCCAGCCAAGACTAAATGCACAGCCCTGAAGGGTGAGGTGAGATCTGTCTTAACCGACATAAAGAGAAGCTCTGCCGTGGTTCATTGTTGGAAGAAAAGACAATCACACCTGTACAATAAAGGATGTGTCTCCGTTACACATTCAACAAACACATATACCTGGAGACTGCAAGGCCTTTTTGCAGGGGACAGAAATTAGGTATACAATTTGCCACCAAGCAACATATATAAAGGTTACAACTGCCATATTGTGTGTGGAATGTGATAGTCACGTGAACTAGAGAAATCAGTGAATCCAGACCCAATATGGAGTCCTCCTGCTTGACACCATAAACTAATTAACTCAGGTGAGACAGGTGTGGCAATAACAGAACCTTATCAAAACCGTTAACATTTACCTGGCAATACCTACCATAGCTGATGGCCTTAAAACCATTCACACAGCATTTTTGACATGAGAAACAATTTTTAGATGGTTCATGGCCTTTTTGGGGCAAACGTGTTGGCAAGAGTAGGAGACAGCAGTTCCATTTACATGGATGGGAAACTTAGCAAAATTTAATGTTTGATAATCATGATAATAAACAATTAAAATTATTTTGGCTACACTGATTTGAAACTATGCAGAATAAAATTTTGTGTTCTAACTGATGGGTGCTGATCACCATCGATTAACATGAAGACCATCCTGTCTAGCAGAGATATTCAATGATGGTGCACCACAGATATTAAGCCCCTTATTCACTCTGGCTTAGCGTTTAAAAGAAATTGTTTGGGGAAAATAATTTTGAGGTTGATATTGTGAACCTTTGTGTCAACATTATTTAAGATGGGACTTTCAATTAGGGGAGTTCATTGGGAGTATGAAATGTGAGTGAGTGCGGGCCAAATTGTATGATGGAGGACCTCTGTTTATTCAAGGACAGGAATTCTCAGGGGTTTCCTCAGGAATGTGGAAGTATAACAACAGTGTACGTCATTCCAGACATACCCTTATGAACGTCAGTTTCTTGGTCACTGGACGGCATCGTGTCCAATGAAAAAGCTGTAAAATGCGTAAAATTCACATAACAAAATTAGTTGGCCCGAACAAAGCCAAACCATGAAGCTCCAATAAACTCATAAATACACAAATCAACTTTCTCAGGAAAGGGCAGCTGTAGAATCAATAAGGCACAATTGTTTTCACCTGAAAGCAGCTCATCAGTGGACATAACAAACAAGAAATTATCAACGTCATTTTGTAAAACATGGCTCCTTGTCAAAGACCATGAGACCACTGTTGTTGTTCTTACTACTATAACATTTGAGAGTAACAAAGAAACAGACAATATTCCTGAGAAAGACAGACAGATTATGACAACATGCGCTCAAGCTTATAATACTCATTATCATGGATGGTTGCTGTACACATATCAAAACACCAACGCATTTGGCATCAAATCATAAAATCAGTGGAAATGTAAACACATTTTAACTGCTTAAAATAAATTTTAGTATTAAAAATATTTTTAAAAAAACACACATTTACTTTAAGTTTGTCCAGGATATAATGTATGAAATTTAAAATTTCATCTAAAACATACTTATATAAACACATTAAAATCATTAAAAAATGTATTACAAAAGAAAAAAGATAAAAGGCTAAAAATATGGTTATCCTTTCTTTTGCATCCTGCAAGAAGCATATTTTTCTGCTCTTTGACCAAATATGAAATTCAGACCCTTGGATGGAACACTGTTTAACAAATTGCTGTTTTTTTCTGGTACAAAACCTAGAGGTTCTAGAATACAATTGAACTGGGCATATCACATCACGGCCTAGTTATCAAGCTCTGAGATCCAAGAGAACAAAGGGGAAATGAGCAACACTTCATTTCCCTGAATATAGCCGTTTGTAGACGTAGTTGAGGAAGAAGAAGGTGGAGACGAGAGCCATGACAAGCATGGTCCGGATGCGCCAGTGTGCGCGGGATCGGTGCAGCTTCTTGTGGAGCTCCACTACCTGAGCCTCGGTCATCTCCACCGTTCCGCTGTTGTCAACAATGTAGGTGGCACGCTTGCACTTCTCCGACAGCGCCATTTGGGAGCAGATCCTGGACTCAGCATCAGGTCGAGAAAGTCTGTTCCTTGCGATCAGGCGCTGCAGTTGTTGTCTTTCAGAACTGCAAGAAGATGGATTAACTCTGAACCACTGTCATCATTATCATAACATGTCAAACTGGGGTTATATTACTATTAATAGAAGCCTGTTTATTTGTTGTTTAATGCCACATTCAGCAATATTCCAGCTATATGACAGCGGTCTGTAAATAATCAAGTCTGGGACAGAAAATCCAGTGATTGACATCACTAAAACCCTGCTACACATCATGAAAGTACTGGAATACTGTTTACAGCAGCATCAAACCCAACTCACTCACTCACTTTTGTCTTCATGCACAAAGTGCATCAGTAAAATGGCATTCAAGAATCTCGACCAGTCTGCTCACTATTCTTCCTGAGACATACCAACATTATAGTCATGGGTCTTGGAACCATGCTAAAAGTGTTTAAATGTGTTTTTATACCACAGTCAGCAATATGAGAGTGCTATGTCACAGCGACCTGTAAATAATCAGTTGTTGACTAGACAAGCCTGTGACTGTCAGCATGAGCAAAGATCCATGACCACCCAAGACCAGCCAGGTACATTGTTACCACAAGGGAAATCACAAGGGGAAATCCCCACGGGGCCTCTACGAACGGGAAATCCACATGGGACTCCTTCTAACCCGGAATCGCTATGGGATACTGTAAAAGATAGTAGACTGATAAGTTTCTGACCAGGACACGACGACTGTGTAGGTCATGTAAGGCACCATCTTGCCACTCTCAAACAGCAGGGGAGTGTCCAGCACCACAAAACTGTACCCTGGAAGAAACCATCAGAACACTCAGCATGTGTAGGAAGTAGGACAGCCTCTGTATGCCAGGCTAAATATGGTTGGTTGGTTTGTTGTTTAACGCCGCACTCAGCAATATTCCAGCTATATGACCGTGGTCTGTAAATAATCGAGTCTGGACCAGACAATCCAGTGATTGACATCATGAGCATCGATCCACGCAATCGGGATTGATGACATGCATCAACCAAGTCAGCGAGTCTGACCACCCGATCCCGTTAGTTTGCCTCTTACGACAAGTATAGTCGCCTTTTACAGCAAGCATGGATTGCTGAAGACCAATTCTAACCCGGATCTTCACATGTGTTGAAAAATGTGGGTACATGAAGTCAAAACTGGGATCAAAAATGAAAATATGCCAACACACGTATTAAGATATTCCATACTACATACTTGCTGTATATTAAATTTCATCATGTTGCAAGGAGAAATAGTTGTGTATTGGTACAGAAAGCCATATTGAAAATGTGATTTTTGTCCATGACTCAGTTATTGCTCTTTAAGGCTGGTTGAGGAACACAATGACACACTTTCAACAGTCGGTTCACCTTTCAGTGTTCAGGGGCCAGGATGCTGGTCACTTCTTCCACTTACCCAGGACAAAGTACTTGAGGAGCAGCCACAGCATCTTCTTGTAGATCTCTGGGTGTGTGAAGGAGTTGAGGAGTTGCCGCTTGTCGCCATCAGAGAAGATGAGTGCACCCAGCTTTGCTCGGTTCAATGTTCCGTCATCATGAAAGAAGTCTTCGCCAAATGTTTCCCGGATCTTGTACCAGGCAGGTTTACCAGGCTCCACCACTGGAAACACAAGCAGACAGTCAAGAGGACTATGCTCCCGGTGGCCTGTTCGTGAGGCTGACTCAGCTAAGAGATCCTAACGACTAAACTTGATGACTGCATTGTTATCTTTCTTACGACCTTGTGATGTAATTAAAATGAGCAGGTGGGGATGGGTGGGGGACACCCTAGATTGAAATTCATGTATGTATTTATATAATTAAATTGATACATATACGGGACGTCACAAGTATGTCGTTACATTGCTATATATAAAGGCTTGCACATTTTGCGGCGTTCTTTTCATTTGGTTCAAAAACACATGTCAAAATAATGGGGATGCATAAACCATAAACAAAGAGTTAACTTTACTTTCAGAGCTAGAAGAGAACCAACATAGTTCAAACGTCAATGATCATGATGATACTTAAACTTCTTCTGATTTAAACGCTTCCGATTTCTGAAATAATAATCTGTAATAAACACATTCAAATGTGAATTGTCACAAATTTTCATCCTTAGATGGATGTGCCTAAAAAGATGATGAACAGAATAGTCTTGCAGCTGGCTGGGGATGTTTATAGGACAGGGCGCTTAATACGTGGACTATGGTTTTTGTGATCTACAACACTGTGTCACAATGTACCGTTCTAGTAAATAATTACTTAGCACTTACGCCCTGGTCGCTTTTTCTATTTCATAGTTTACAGATATTTACTGAACCAATAAGTTTGGGCCGGTTAAAACAAAGATAAATTGATGGAGCTCAATATTTCTTTTTATCTTATTTGGCATTTTGTTTGGGTCATTTGGCTAAGTGGTAAAACATATGATAATGGTGTCATAAGTACAGGAAGTTTATTAATTTTAAAGTATTATGAATATATGGTATATATATATTTACTTCTGAGAAGGCATTGTTCTATTTATAAGCAGTCTGCAGTGGCCAGGGGCTACATAAAATGCCTTTTATCAAGTATTATCTATTTTGGTATTAATGTAATATTTTCTAATCCAGCAAAGATTATAGCGGTTAGGCAAAGAAAACAAAGTTATTAGGCTATATTTTCTGATATGGATTTTAGCTAGTCTGAATATGAAAATGTAAACTGACAGACAAAACAGTGACAAATAAAGTAAGGGAAAATAAGTTCACATTCTGTGGCGCTTGCAAATAGTCCTGAAAACAAACTCCCACAGTTGATGAAGCTTTTGTGTCAAATAACGATCTAACCTCGGCTGCTAATGAAGTTATCATGTTTCAGTCCTCGCCACTTGAAATTGAATTATGAAATATCACGATTATTAATTAACGAAGATACCTGCATGTGTTCTAATACTTATAAAGTGAAACAAGCCATTCTAGCTATTACTTGTACTGATGACAAAAATTGCAAAGTGCGCTCTTCAACGAACATATCCATTTTGCTAGCGATAATCATTTTTTGATCATGTGGTTGCAGTCCGGGTAAGAATCGTCTGTCAGGTGACTGCGAATAGTTATACTGAGCAGTGCGTGCATCTCCAACTTTATTTAACAATGCCCTACTCATCCTATTGAAACTGAATATTACCCTGTACATTACCCGGTACATTAGCCTGTACATTACCCGGTACATTACCCGGTACATTACCCTGTACATTACCCTTTACATTACCCTGTACATTACCCTGTACATTAGCCGGTACATTACCCGGTTTATTACCCTGTACATTACCCTGTACATTACCCTGTACATTACCCTGTACATTAGCCGGTACATTACCCGGAACATTACCCTGTACATTACCGGGTACATTACGCGATACATTAGCCGGTACATTACGCGATACATTAGCCTGTACATTACCCGGTACATTACGCGATACATAACCCTGTACATTACCGGGTACATTAGCCTGTACATTCCCCGGTACATTACCCTGTACATTACCCGGTACATTACGCGATACATTAGCCTGTACATTACCCGGTACATTACGCGATACATTAGCCTGTACATTACCCGGTACATTACGCGATACATTAGCCTGTACATTACCCGGTACATTACGCAATACATTAGCCTGTACATTACCCGGTACATTACCCGGAACATTACCCGATACATTACCCGGTACATTACCCTGTACATTACCCGGTACATTACGCGAAACATTAGCCGGTACATTACCCGGAACATTACCATGTACATTACCCGGTACATTACGCGATACATTAGCCTGTACATTACCCGGTACATTACGCGATACATTAGCCTGTACATTACCCGGTACATTACGCGATACATTACCCTGTACATTACCCGGTACATTAGCCTGTACATTAGCCGGTACATTAGACAGTACATTACCCTGTACATTAGCCTGTACATTACCCTGTTCATTACCCGGAACATTACCCTGTACATTACCCGGTACATTACCCGGTACATTACCCTGTACATTAGCCGGTACATTACCCTTTACATTACCCTGTACATTACCCTGTACATTACCCTGTACATTAGCCGGTACATTACCCTGTACATTAGCCGGTACATTACCCAGAACATTACCCGGAACATTACCCTGTACATTACCCGGTACATTACGCGATACATTAGCCTGTACATTACCCGGTACATTACCCAGAACATTACCCGGAACATTACCCTGTACATTACCCGGTACATTACGCGATACATTAGCCTGTACATTACCCGGTACATTACGCGATACATTAGCCTGTACATTACCCGGTACATTACGCGATACATTACCCTGTACATTACCCGGTACATTAGCCGGTACATTACCCTGTACATTACCCTTTACATTACCCTGTACATTACCCTGTACATTAGCCGGTACATTAGCCGGTACATTACCCGGTACATTACCCTGTACATTACCCTGTACATTACCCGGTACATTACCCGGTACATTACGCGATACATTACCCTGTACATTAGCCGGTACATTACCCAGAACATTACCCGGAACATTACCCTGTACATTACCCGGTACATTACGCGATACATTAGCCTGTACATTACCCGGTACATTACGCGATACATTAGCCTGTACATTACCCGGTACATTACGCGATACATTACCCTGTACATTACCCGGTACATTAGCCGGTACATTACCCTGTACATTACCCTTTACATTACCCTGTACATTACCCTGTACATTAGCCGGTACATTACCCGGTACATTACCCTGTACATTACCCTGTACATTACCCGGTACATTACCCGGTACATTACGCGATACATTACCCTGTACATTACCCTGTACATTACCCGGAACATTACCCTGTACATTACCCGGTACATTACCCGGTACATTACGCGATACATTACCCTGTACATTACCCGGTACATTATGCGATACATAAGCCTGTACATTACCCGGTACATTACGCGATACATTACCCGGTACATTACCCGGTACTTTACCCGGTACATTACCCTGTACATTACCCGGTACATTACCCTGTACATTACCCTGTACATTACCCGGAACATTACCCGGAACATTACCCTGTACATTACCCGGTAATTACGCGATACATTAGCCTGTACATTACCCAGTACATTACCCGGTACATTAGCCTGTACATTACCCGGTACATTAGCCTGTACATTACCAGGTACATTACGCGATACATTAGCCTGTACATTACCCGCTACATTAGCCTGTACATTACCCGGTACATTACGCGATACATTACCCCGTACGTTACCCTGTACATTAGCCTGTACATTAGCCTGTACATTACCCGGTACATTACCCTGTACATTACCCTGTACATTAGCCTGTACATTACCCCGTACATTACCCCGTACATTACCCCATACATTACCTGGTATGTCAGCTGTATCAACAAAAGGTGTTACTAGGAATTGTGAACTCGCTCAATGAAATTTCCTGATCGCAATGGTTTAGATATTCATTTGTTTCATGTTTAATGTGTGCATTTATTTTATTTAAGTTCTATTCAGTGGACACAGTATTTAACTCTGCTGGTCATAGGCTGAAAAACTGTGCTGGCATGTAATACTGTACTTCAAAAGTCCCTGAATCATTCCCACTGGGCTCCATACAGGATCCTGGGTCCTATCCATTTGTCCCTTGCACTAAAGTACTCAGGTGAATATCCATGACCTATGACACCTTGACGACAGGAGAAAACAGGTGCTTGAAACCCACGTGCATGTGATTTGTCAGTGGTTAGTGATTTGTGAGTGGCATTGTGGGATAGTGAATCATCGTCAAAATATCAGAACGTAAAAGTAACATATTCCCTTCTCAAACAACAACTTACATGTCATTATTATTATATACATAAAAATAGCTGTCATTTTTATTGTTGTTTTGATAAAAAAAAATCCAGGCTAGTTTGCATAATGCCTATAGCCTGTTTCTGCCATGTCAATTTGGACTTAGTTTTATTTTTGAATGTTGAAAGTGCCTACAAATTACCCCCTGTAAAGTACATTTTGTATTGAGCACTTAGATAAAACTAGCAAATCCAGACTAGTACTTTTCCAGTTGTTTCGTTATTTCGTATTTACATCTACATAATGCTTTGTGTCGATTACTAAATCCAGCAAAACAGTTTTTTTTCATTTCCATGAGTACTTTAGTTGCAGTGTTATACTGGCACACTGGGTCTACTTTGAACAGTCAAATGTTTTCAAGGCAGACAGTTTATATTGAATCAGGACCAATATATTTAGAAGCCATGTTCGTAGAGGGTTACAGCTAAAATCCTAAAACACCACCATGTCAAAGTGACGTCTTGCGAATTGGCAATAATGGCACCATCTCATCGTTCCATGATTAGGCCATTTTGTATTGAGAAACAAAATAGGTAAGTGCATGCCCCAAGGCAAACAGTATGTCATTCCAAGAGAATCTTCCTTTTAAAATTAGTTTTTAAAGGACAATCAACACCTGATCAACAATGTTGATAACCAACAAGCAACAGTAATATTTATTTCAAAACAAGATGTCTCGAAAGCACACTTCTCAAAATCTGATTACAGTCTGTGTTTTAGCAGGTATTTATTGTCAACAACAACATACATGGCTTAACATTGACTAAGTGGATTTAATGCACAGTAGGAATGTTGAGTGAATTATGTAATATAGGCATAAGAAAGTTAATCTGTTAAAAAAATCTGTGACTGTTGTTTGATTGGGAGAAATAAATAGCAAATATTGGATTTTTTCCCTATACTTTCTTTTGCACTTTATAATAATAAATATATTATGATGTCCTTTTCGCGAGGGAATTCGATCTTTTCGTAATATTTCTTAACATCTTATATTAGTAATGTTCAGAGTCAGACGCACGTCTGGTTTAGCCTCATCTTGTGCAAATCGTTGTGACAAAAATGTTTTCATTTTCAAACACTTTTGGCAAAAGGTTCGTGTTATCAATATCTTGGCATACTTGACGATGTAGAACAAATCAACTAGCCTAATGTGCAATACACTTTACCATGAATTCCTTTAAAGGGGCACTGATCTAACGCAATTCCCCGGACTGGTTGTTGCCTTTGTTATTGTTTTTTCCCCCGTGAGTACCCGGATGATACGCAACGCAACTGAGCGTGACCAGAGACTGGGCTACCGTCTGCAAGGACAGCTAAATACACTTGGAGGCCGGAGGCAATATTTGTTTTACGAATTTTTGCATAAACACTGATTGGTTAACTGTGATCTATAAGGATTTCGACAAAGGGGGCATGTAAATTAATTTCTTCAGCCTAAACAAACAGACAAAAAGAAAGGCGGAGCTCAGCGGATTTGGAAATACCCCAGATGGTTATACATGTAGTTTAATACTAAAAAAAAGTATCTATGCAGTGAAAGCATTTTCGGATTTCGGATTGCGTCGATAATACGATTACTACTCCCTTGTTGTCATCCACGTTTTCTGGTATAACCCTACACTTGTGTATTTGTCGTCATTCACTTGATGCTCAGTTAATGAATTTATTACAGGTACAATTAGTTGTAGCACCACTTAGATTACCTTCCAAAGGTTCCCATTTGGCATTTATTGTGTCTGGGGTAATTATTCAATCTAAATCAAGGTTTGAAGTGAGGTGAAATGTGTGTTATGTAATATGCACATGGCAGACCAGCAAGAGGTGAATGATCAATTGATTTACTTTTTTTTTGTAAATCAACAGATCGTTCCAAGTCATCAAAGGATTAACAGAAAATACGTTGATTGATTAATTACTGTTATCTTGCACAGTGGATATGTCAAAAGTGAGTGTTTACATGTCTAGGTTTACTAAAACAAAGGGAATACACTCATTTCATGGCGTGAAGTGCCGATGTAAAACAACATACTTTGTTCAAAGGGTTAACTGATAATACGTTGATTGATTGATCATTGTTATCTATCACTCAATGGATTTTTTAGGAACCATGGACGTTATGAAAATAGTTGTCACGTGGGCTTTCTCAGCCGACCCTTAGACTTGACACCTATGTGAACGCCTGACACAATCCAAGTGATCAGTTGAGTAACGAACACGGGTTATAATATCCCGAAACGATATATATCTTTTAAAATATTTGATTGTTACAGAGACATGTGACATCGAATAAGTTTCTTTGTACAGCTGAAGGACGAGTGGGATATTGTTCCTTTGTGTGGATATTCACGGATACATTCCTCGAACAAGGAAGCTCCTAAAATTTATACACATAAATTTGGAAGGTTGCAATTATGGTATTTGCATTTTGTTTTCCTTCATTTGAACCGATTCGTTCTTGTTTCTCAACGTCTTGGTTGGGAAATTGTTCAATGCACGATAGACGTTGTTTTCACAGGTCTTTTCCTTTGTAAGCGTGTATATATTACCGTCAATTTGTAAATGTGATTCTCTCAGGCAATTTATAAAATGTGTAAATATTTCAGTCATTTTGACTAAAACATCTGTCCAGATTGATTAGGATGATCAAAAGGGCCTACAAACATCACAACAGATTATTATGTAGGATTAGAAGCCAAACAACATAGAAATGTACTTTTCAACGTATCATTTTCAGTCTCTTGGTGGTGACATTAAACATAATAATGTTTGGAATTCGTTAACATAATAATACAAATGGAAATGTTTTTTAGTTGCTTTTAATAAATTTTAAAATGTTACACATTTTGACAGTAAAAAAAATATACACACTATAAAAAAGCAATGCTCAGGTGAAATATTTACTTTGTGTTGCAAGTCAAAATAGTGTAAACGAAAATCGCAAAATTACCAAGCTAGTGACTTCGTCACCATTACCGATGCTACCCACAAATATACCTACATTTCCTTATTATCTCGAAAACTGTATTTCATTTTGTTGATCAATGTGACCATACACCCTTATTACTACCCATAAAAGTGACTGATGCGCTTACGAATTGCGCAGCAGAGGTCGCGAACTAGTCTAGATTTCTGCTATACATCCGGGTACTCACTGGGAAAAAACAATAACAAAGGCAACAACCAGTCCCGGGGAATTGCGTTAGATCAGTGCCCCTTTAAATAGAAAATAGAAGGCGAATAACAATAACTGAAACTCACCATCTTTTGCAAGCTTGTCAGCGTCAATGACAGGGCATCCAAGTTGGCGGAATTTGTTGGAAACAGTACTTTTCCCTGTCGATATACCGCCTGTCAAACCAACCAAAAACATTTCTGACCGATTGAGGCTTGTTTATGTAACGAAGTCAACGTTGCACACTTCCATTTCTTGAGTAAAGTTTTATCTGTTAGAGTTACCGTCCTTGATATTGGGGATGTGTTAGGGGGACAACTATTAATACACTTGTAGACCCTGTACGAACGTCTGTCGATATACAAGTTTATTCAAATAAAAACATTAGACACTGGGAAATCGGAGACTAATTGCGATGAATAAATGGATTTACATTAATGAGGATGTGTTAACCAATTGTGATTTTTAAACAAACACACTTACATGAAGTTGCAATACTATTTTTTAAATGACACTACAAGTACTGTTGCACATAAGCAGAGAGTGTAGTGTATTGTAAGTTGAGATGCTCCCAGTTGCATGGCTTCTGTACTTGATGTTTTTATATTATGCATGGACTGATGTAGCGATAACAGCTGTTGTCTTCAGTGTCTTGTCTTGGCTGTTTTCTTGTGGAACATCAGTGAGCCTGGGTTATACTTTGCTTATGTCTTTTACAAAAAGCTATTTACAAATTAAAAACGATTTTGTGTTTATTTTGTCTACAGATTTGTTAAAATGGATTTCGTCATCATTTAGTTTGGCATATTATTTTTTTTAAATCATCTATAAAGTTAAATATAAATTTTGTTGTTTGTTTGTTTGTTTGTTATTTATCACACTCACCTATATTCCAGCCATATGACGACATTCCATAATAATCAATACGGAAGCTGACAATCCAGTGATTGACATTGTGGTATCATTCCACGCAATGGGGATACAATGACATGCAACAAGCCAACATCCAGTCACCGAGCCTGATCCATTTAGTCGCTACTACCACAAGCTTGGGATAAGGATCTACATACCCTTACCCAGAATCCCCACGTGAAATAAAACTTCATGTTTTACACCTATCATTGAATTAAAGAAAAGGGCTCGAACATTCTTCCAGGAAAATATGTTTTCATTCTATTATACTTACTGTGGTGTTTGATTTAAGTTTTCTCTCTATATAATAATCTCGACTCCATAACACACGGTAAACAATACCTTGCAATGTAGTAACGTTCTCTCCTCAGTACTATACTTGTTGAAAAAAGAAATCCTTCATATTTTATTATATATGGTATTTGCAGTTCTTAGCTGCGCATATATGTTCCGTATGGCTGTAATACTGTCGAAGAAAAAATAATATTAACAAAAGCATATCTTTCACACACACACACCCAATAATTACTAAGAATCGAAATGACACCTACTACAGTCTAATACCTTAACTGGTTCAACTTATTATTATCTGTAAATATTTTTTGGGGACGTTTTAGCCATTACCCTCTTGTTAATTTTATAGAAATGAAGTTTTAATAATTTAATAATTTATGTAAATACCTTTATAGACTTAACTGCTTTGTGTTTTTTTGAGGTCATACATTATCCAAAGATACATTTTGCAGCAGTGTTCCACAACTGATATCACCAGACGGTCGTAGAGACGAATTCAATGGATATTAGTAGTAACGAAAGTATTACAGTACTTTCCTGTAGAGAAATGTTTTTCATCATAAACATGAACAAGTTTTAAATTTTAGATTCAAAATTCTTAAATATAAGTGACGGGTGTAGATATTTGCACGATAGATAGTTGAAGTAATAGTAAATAACTAAAACAAGAAAGCAAGGCTGATGGGCTTCAATTTGGTTTATTTCCAAGCCATTCGTTTCACTTGCAGGATGTAAATATTTACTCTGATCATTAAATTCCAAGATGTCAGCGCCCACGATACCAAAACATCACATACGAAAGGAAGTTTGTGACGCTCGCCCTGCATATCGCGAAGGCCGACGGGCAAAAGCAGTAAAGGTAAGACACCATTAATGAAAGAGAACTTATTCCACCAATGATAGGACATTTTACGGAAGAGGTGAAAACCAGTAACGCAGCATGAACGTGTAAAAATTCGTAAAATTAGTGCATGGCTGCTATTACGTACCGATATGCCTATTTATGCCCCCCTTCGAATTTAGCCGAGAGTCGTGATGGGGTCCGACCCTACATTTATCACTGGTGAGACCACTAGGTTCATAATCCTATGCAAGTGTAGGTCTATTGTGGTGCCCCCACAATAGATCCACACTAGGGGCCGGTTAACATTTCCTTGAGATTCTTAAAAAGTATTTCCCATCGATTTGTGACTGTAAACTTTATGTCTATATACTGCTCAATAAATTCCATGTTTATACATGTACTGTAAACTATGGGCAGCCATTTGGTAAAAAAATCCATAGTTGAAATAAAGGACAAAAGTATGCAATAATAGTCAAATGTTAGGAATAAAGAAGTAATGTTACAAATAAAGGTCAATATTTACATACAAATAATGAATTCAAAATACAAAATGATACTAATGAACAACTCGCAAAAAAATATGTCATATGTAAAGAAAGGACAATGTGTACTAAAGTACGTCTGTGCACAAAAAAGAGACTAAACTTCTAAACATGCTAAAGGACAATGATGACAATATAGAACGCCAGATGGCGCTGTAATCTGAAAAACATTCTGAGTTTAATTTACTTGTTCTGCCATATATATGATAAATGCATGCTGAAGTGCTCAATGTATTACGTCGATCCTTGTGCACTCAACGTGTGACATCAAACACAAAAGTTTTATATGATGCCTAGTTACTTTTCTGACTCTCATTTCCATAAGATCTAAAAAGAGATCAAAGTTTTCCTTTAGCAGTGTATTGTCCATTTTCTGCACCGACATTCTGTAGTAGACATTGTTCTTTCTTCGTTCTTTAAATATGATGTAATACATATGATGTCCTTTACATATATAGCAATATATTTATTCCTGTCAGAACAAATGCTCTATGTGTGAAAAATCCATCAACATATTTGAAAATATACAAATTCATTTAAAAAAACACTTTTTTCTAATGAACATGAAGTATGTTGGTGACATTGTCAAATAGGAACATTTTCGCTGCAGTTTTATGTATTTAATCCTGATATTTTTTCTGGGTCGAAATTATATTTGGTCGGAACAAAAACATGCTTACAGTACCTGTCATAATTTTTATGCCATAATTATGATAACAGTTGATAAAAACAACACAGTGATCACTTCACTTTTTCAACGGGTCTGGACACAACACCAGATTTCAAGGTGTACGTAAATTTCATTGCCACACTAAAATATACTGGACATTTGTCTTATCGACCACTACTCTCTTGTATCATTAGGTTTACCGGGCGGTCGGGTAGCCTAGTGGTTAAAGCGTTCGCTCGTCACGCCAAAGACCCGGGTTCGAATCCCGACATGGGTACAATGTGTGAAGCCCATTTCTGGTGTCCCCCGCCGTGATATTGCTGGAATATTGCTAAAAGCGGCGTAAAATCAAACTCACTCACTCACTCATTAGGTTTACCATAGGCTTGGAACCTAATCACCATGTAACACCTTGTATATCTACAAAATACCGCAATGTTTGCGATACGACATCAGATGATCCAGATAAATCAATCAATTCATTACCTTGCAGCTGAAACCGACTGCCGCATTTAAACTTCGTTGGTATGTCAATGGGCGAGCACTATAAAATCAGCATTAGTCCAAACTACTACAAGCAGGCGCACACAAACAAACAAACAAACAAACACACACACACACACACACACACACACACACACACACACACACACACACACACACCTCACCTCTACCCAGATACCTGGAGTTGTCTCCCCTTGACCACCAAGTGGCTCCTGTACTCTGTGATGTAGATCCTTTTTCTCAGAGGGTAATGAACCAAATTTATTGCAACTCAGCTTGATCTTCAAAATACAGTTGAAGTGTTTGAAAAGTAATTGTTGAAAAAATGCTTTTTGTTGCACAGTTTGAAACATTGTTGAAGTTGAGGTACTTGATTCATATATGCATTTGCAGTGTGGCTCAATTTGTACAAATTATTATATTTTTTAGCATTATTTATGATAAGTGAATAATAACCAAAATTGTGTGTGTATGATAAACACTGGACAAATTGTTATAAAAAATGGTAAAGTTGACATAACTTTTAAAGTGAACCAGTAATTGGGACTTTGTGGTATGACATATACTGTTGACAATCTGGAGTTCCTAAAGTAAACTGTGGTAGATTCTCTCAGGTCTTTTAATAACAACAACCCAAAATTTCACAAATGTGTAATATAATTACAGTTGTTTTAGTTTCCCATTGTGTATGTTTTTTTCACAATTATTTTAAAGTATCATGATATATTTGACACATAAGACAAAAATGTCTCTGGCATATGCCCAACTTCGAAGCCAGCAACGTTAATGTAAATGATACGAGACTGAGTGTAAGAATTGCAATCGTTGCCTACCATGATTGCTGCTTGACATGGCAGAGATCTTGGCTCTGGTATTTAGGGCTTTGATAATTCTGAAACTGGTTTTGAATTTGATTTATTTTTACTCTCCTGACTCTGCTACTTAGTGATGACTTAAACAGTTATTGTTTTGAAATTTTTTATTCCTTTTTTTTTTGACCAGAAAATCTCTTAACCAAGTTATAAATTTAAAAACTAAAGGTTGCCTAACACAATGTGGTAGAACCAGAGTGTAAGTGTGAAATGCCTTGTGTTCTAGGTTTATACTGTCAACCAGGAGTCCAGGTATCTGCTTGTTCAAGGAGTCCCAGCTGTGGGAGGCTGTGCGGAGCTGGTCAAGTTGTTTGCAGTATATGGTGCAATAGAAGAATACAGGATCCTTGATGAATACCCTGCTGAGGAGTTCACAGAGGTCTACTTATTCAAATTCTTGAAGATCCAGTCAGCAAGGTGATTGTTCATAGCATACAACACTTGTCTTGCTCTTATCTTAGCTAGTTTCAAAAAGTCACACAATCATCTCTGCTCTGTTGTCCAGTTTCTTTATGACGTTAAATTAACGAAAAGAAATCAGTATTATAGTTGCATAGCATATTTTGTGGACAGGACCCAAGATAGTGATAGATATCATTCCTTGACATCACATTGTTTTCACCCTTTGGCTCCAAATTAAAATACTTGCAACTGAATTTTGGATGAAAAATTAATTGCATGTAGATATGAAAGTAAAAGCTTTTATCAGTGGAAGTTAGTATTTCATGCTTGTTTCTAGTATTTGTGTGTGTGCGGGTTGACCTAGTGGTTAAAGCGTTCCCTCGCCACGCCTTGGCCAATGTTTGATTCCCCACATGGATACAGTTGGTGAAGCCCATTTCTGCTGTCCCCAGTTGTGATATTACTGTTTACTATAAGTGTTGTAAAACCATATTCACTCATTCTGTTACTGTAAATCTTAAAATTAAAACGAGCCTGAATTAAATGTGAAAAATGCGAGTGGTCTTTGCTCGCATTATTAAACATTGCATTTATATCAACAATAAGACATTTTGGATAGCAGAAATACCATACGCTGAACAATAAGACATTTTGGATAGCAGAAATACCATACGCTGAAAAGAAACAACTTTGTATTCCACATCACTCTTTATTGAGCAGCACTTGTAACAATTATATAATCAATGTCATTCAAACACTAATTACATCCTGTGAATTGTCACTGATGGGGTCAAGACAAGAGTTCAACTCACTTATGTCATCAGTGATCACACCTGCAAGTCCAGACAGACACCACCAACGCAACACAGTGTCTTTGTTCTTTGCGACTGTGTCAAAGGCCGACACGAGCCAGCACGCATGTATTGTTTTAGCGGAAGTACTCTACTCAACGCTAATAACAAGTGCTATTTGATTGGATTTATGTAAGGTTGGATTAAGGTGAGGACATTTTCTTTAGATATAAATCCACTGATGCTTGTGAGGAGGGGGAGGTCACATTCATATTGAGTCGCATTTTTGGCTAGGGGCCAGCGGTCGCATTCTTTTGGAGACACATTAATTTCATGATTTACAGTATTTGAAACAATGTATTTTTTCAATTACTTGATTTACAGATTCTCAGACCTTAAGTTTCACAATTTTGCCTGACATTATCACAAATAAATGATGAGATAAACATACTCTGCTTTCAATGTAGAGCTAGGTTACCTGTCATCTTCCTGATGCAAGCATGTCTGTCCACTAGCCTGTAGCAAAACCTAGTTTCTACCCTTGCCACATGAAACCCACTTTCCTTGATTGTGGTGCCACATCGTGTAGATCACAGGCTGTGCCCCTTGTATTAAAATGCGATAGCCAATCAGATAGTTGTTCTCAGCTCGTTGGGCTTCACAAAGATGGCGACTGGTCAATCAGATAACGAAAATATTCGAGATTTTATCCCTGACAGACAAACTAAGGCAATCATTGAGGATTTTAATAGATAGAAAAGAAATATTTGCATCAACAAAGAGAGGCAGGTAAGTCACTTTCATACGAATGTGTACCAGTCATGTTACATTAAATTTAATTAAATTTAAAACTTGGGAAAGATCTTCGTTTAATTGTTGAATGAAGTTCAGTGCAAATTTGACAAGCTATCTGGCCATGTTTTCGGTACCCGGATGTTGATTTTATGAAAAGTTCTCTGAATTGACTATTGATATGTGCGATAATCTAATCATATTTAGCACAGGAAAGTGGGCATGATGTGGCAAGGGCGGAAACTAGACTTTGATAAATAGGCTCGTTGATGCTTTTGCCTCGGGAAGATGGGTTACCTGTAGACTGAACTTAGAACAGAACGCTCAGCTAAATGATACAGACTTCCAACCAGCTGTTTCAATCAGAAGTTGTTATTGTGATTTGAAACCTCCGATTGACCTATCAGAATTGAGAATTTTCCGAATTCATGGTAGAATCCTTTTATCAAGAGGTTCCAAGGCCAATCATATTTTTAAGATATCACTTTATGAAAACCATGTTTTCAAAATGTATTGCAACATCTTTTAGAAAAGAGGAGGTGAGGTGAGGTTTGACACAGCAGTGTTTGACTGTAGTTAATATAGGGTCTAAACCAAGGGTTTCACACTTGTGTCTTCTTGCAACTGATACATTTCAGATTTGCGAAGAGGAAGATCGATGACTACTCTTTCTTCGGGGGAGTGCTCCACGTGTGTTACGCTCCGGAGTATGAATCTGTAGAAGACACCCGGGAGAAGCTACAGGACAGAAGGAAAGTCATCGCTGCCAAACTCAGACAGCATGGTATGTAGGGTTGTCATAGCAACATATTTGGGATGACCATGTTCTGATTTAACTTTTAATTCAAATACTAAACCAGTCTGCAACTTTAGCCGCTAGTCAGGAGCCAGAGTCTAGTAAAATTCTGTTTGGTCTAGCAAGCTCAGTTAATAATAGTTTTTTATTGTCGCCACCTATTCTGTTGCGTCTAAGGGCCGCTTTGGAAATGGTTAAGGTCCAGGTTGGATATTGAGGACCATATTTCACCCGGTTGAGAGGTCTTTCATTTTTTGTAAAGCTTTGTTATGATGGTATGAAAATTATCTAATGGTCGTCAACTAGCCTTGTTTTCGTTCTCTTGAAAGTTCTTTTACTTCTGGCAAGTTCAAGCACATAAGAAAGGCTTCAAGAGAAAACTATGAACAAGTCTGTGTCTGGAGATGAGTTTTAAACAACATATTTGCACTGTCCTTATCTACAGAAGATCAGAAAATCAGCTTCAGACAAAGACTTAATTGCTTATCTTATAATTGTTAATAAATACTCCCCCAAACTTCTAAAATCAACCTTTTGGACATATAGAAGCCCTACATATTATTTTAATGTTATTATAAGTCCAATCTTAGCATGTAGTGAAATGAACAAAGTCTAGTTATCATTCATATGAATGTTTCTAAACATGTTGTTCATGACTTAAACTATGTGATCCCGTGGGCCAACAAGGACTTTCAGTGTGTTGAGCAAATGCTTTAACCACAAGGCTGCCACTCATTTCAGTCTGTCAATAATATGGATTCCACATTCCAGGATCGAGTTCAGCACCTGTGTCTGACAGAACCAGCAATGAAGAAAATAACCTTTATGATGAAAGACAGCCAAGTACTTCCCAGCCAACTCACTCCAAGGGCACACCACAGATGGTGGACAGTCAGAGGGTGCCTTCTATCCATCCAACCTCTGCAGAGCCTTCTATCCATCCAGCTTCTACAGCCCCACATGCACACAGTGTCAACAGATCCCAACCAGCCTATCAAGGGGCAGGGTTCGAGTCATCAAAACACAAAGGGGGAGATAACTCTGTACCTTTTGAGAAACTGTGGTTACCTCCCCCTCCTGTGAATAGGGGGCCTATGGGATTCAGGCCACCTGTTCACAACAGATATGAATACGCCTGGGTTCAAAGCTCCCATGCTACCCTACCAAGTAATTACGATGGTAGAATTGACCAATCAGCAACTCTTGCATGGTCACATGACCCTGAGGTGGTTCAGGGGCCAAAAAGTAATCCAAAGATGGACAGATTTGAACAAGAGACAAAGGAGGATAATGGAGAGTCCAAAAGGAAAGAAGTGGATATGCCCAAAACAGGTGAAAAGGTAGTGAGTGGCTTGATAGTTAGAGAATATAAGAAAGCTGGCAAAGTTCCGAAGTTTGTTCCAAGACAGGCGCTGAAAAAAGCTGGTGTTAAAGATGGTGAATCACCAAAACCCAAGACTGAGAATGATGCTTTGAACAAGCAGATCCGCGTCAATGCGTTTACTCTGGCCGACACACAGGGGCCAGCTATGCCAGGGAACGGTGATCAGAAAGTCAACGTACATCCTGGTGCTCAGAAAGCTGTCAATCAAACTGTGAAAGAAATCCGCAAGCGTATCTCAAAGGTGGGTCAGGCTGCTCAGGCATACAAACTAACACTGAAGATTAATTTAGCAGCTTTTGAACGTCAGTTTATTCGGATTATACAGGTTTATTAAGATATTTTTCAATCCTTTTACAAGTTGCAATCTCATTCAAAACTCCAATCTGACAACACCTTCATAGGATGTAGTGACAGTGAACTTTCTTTTCAGTCAATAAGCATTCATATGAAGCGTAGATTCTTCATATGAGCATGATGAGAGAGCAAAGTATTCAGAGCAGCATACTGATTTCTGTGCCTCAAAAATGAACATAATGGTCAGTTCAGAATGGAAAATAAGGATTCTGCTAGATTTGTTGTAGATATTGTATAATCACTGCCACGGGTGTACTATTGTACACAATATTTGTGTTCTGTATGTGATTTATTTTGTCAGGATCAAACTATCCCCACACATCCTAGGGATCTTCCATTTGATATTTGGGTGTCCTGGGAGCCTGGGATTTTATCGAAACAAAATAGATTGTCCCTGAAAAGTCTTGAAAAAAATAAATATGCTTCTGACTGTTGAACAAAAAATGAAATTGACATTACATAGCTGCAGGTTGTTTTTCTGAAGAAAAAATCAGGCTAATAGTTTTATATAAAAAATGTCTGGTTTTGTAGGTGTAGCAGTAAAAATATCTAATTTTAATAAACATCCCAGCCGCTAGGCTTCTCAGATCTGACTTGGTCACAAGTTGCTACTTTTGGACCAAATGCAAAAATTCTTTTTCTTTGGCAGCCTGTACGACTTGGGTTTTGAGCTGTCTACATCATGAAGGGACAGTTTATTTGTTTATTATTAGAGTGATTGTATCATTGCAAAGACAGCAGCTAATTATGCAAAATTCTGTTTCAGTTCATATCGGAAAAAGTTCCACAACAGAAAAAGGCTAAAGAAAGCTGACAGGAGATGGCATCATTCCTGATCTGTAAAGGAAAGTGAAACATGGTCTTATCAGTCATAAGTCCTGTGTTCGATTCTCGCACATGGGAACTATTGTTGGTGTTCCCCCAGTGACAAGGCTGGAATACTGCTGAAAGCAACATGAAGGTCAACTCACAAACTCAAAGAAGAACTCAAAGGAGAATATTGAATTAACAAACTGGACTCAGTAATCAAGAGGCTTCTTGAAACTGGAAGAGAGAATGTTTCAATACTTTTAGCACATCAGGCAGGTTGCAATCCAGTTCTTTCAGATTTGACTTCCTGGAAGTAAGTAGAGCATCTGCCCAGAGAGCGGAAGGTCAGTTTGTGGGTTGATGTATCATAAGACGTCAAAAGATGGTACTTGTTACCCTGCCTGGTGCTCGGCATTAAGGGGATAGATAAAACAAGGACTGGTTGGCTTGGAGTTTGTTCCCTGCTTGGAAGGGTTGCTTATCTTGCAGTCATCAGTCAACTCTTGTTCAGGGTAAATCCAGGTACTGAGACAAAGCATCTATTTATCCAGTTTGTCACTTGTCCAACAAGGTTATTTCCAAATTAATTTTATTGATTACGTCTCGTGAACACTATATCATGCTATATATACACAAAGGTATCATCTCTTGTCAAATGATTAATTCGCCTTCATTAATGACTCTGTGGACAAGGGAAATTTCCTTCATATAAGTGTTTTCCGCTTCCCCAATTCTGGTTTTCTGATTTCAAATGAAGATATTGGTGTTGTCAGAACCAAAGAAGGAAGGTATCCTCCTGTTCCTTTGTGACAAGCTACGACTAGATTCTGTCCTGTTTCCTGGCCACAGACCAAACATTCTCATATGATCTCCACACATCTTTACAGCCCATCCATGAACAGATGACGGTGGTGTCTTCTTTGCAGTCTAGTCAAAACTACTTCCAGAAATACACAAAGAATGATGGATTGTTACGAAGACTGCCATGACATGGCTTGCTTTGGTGTGACACTGTGCAAACTTGCATCCCATCATATGTTGGAGGGTTCGAATCACATATTTGCCCTGATAATGGTTGTTGATTTGTCAGCATGATACACATCCAGATGTTTAGCTCACCTGGCTGTCAAGACAGTAAGCATTAAGAATATGGATGAGTTCCCTTTATGCTTATGGGAAATAAAAAACTAAAAATGTCTTGACTTGTGGTTGTGTAAAAGAAAGATTAATCTTTCCTCAGACACCTGCAATCAATCTGCAACATAGTCCTTATCAACATAAGTTACACTGTCAGTTATCAATATATTGATAAGATCACAGTATATCTTCGGTTAAGCACATCAATCGTCAATAAAATGCACCTGCTTATCAATGGTTCTTATAAATCTTCAGTATTGTAGAGTATGTCAGTTTCAAAATCACATGAGAAAATAACAACACGTATCAGTATGTTTACAAAACATTTAATATTAATGACACACATTAACAGTGTTGGAGAATATTATACACAAGTTATAGCTAGATAAAAACTAATCTCGATTCCTCAGTAGCAGTGACTTAGATGTGCAGACTCCATGCATCAGTGGGCCGGACTGACCATCGGTCACTGCCATGGTAACGCATGTGTCCACCCTTCAGACACGCTGCTAGAGCAATCAGACCACCATATAATTCATAAACGTGCGTCACGTATCAGTTTCTTGGTACAGTCTTTATTCCTTGTACAGTTTCTCAGCAACTGTTAAATGCAAGCACCTTTGTGCCTTGTCAAATTTTGCAGAGGCTACACAAATTCTGTAAGCAACATAAACTGGCACAGGGAATGTTTGCAAGAATGTTCCCAATAATTTATATATTTGAACTTTGCTCACTATATTTGGGAAGTAGGTCGTGGTATTAAGTGGTTACGTGCTGGATGTATATGCTCTTGCATAATGCTACATACATTTGACCCTACTCATGTTGGACTGACGATTCCATTGTGATGTCACAACCATAACTGTTCATTATGACTTCAAACCGATGTAAAAACCAAGATAACGTTCCTTCCTAAAAAAACCCAACTTTTCTTCCTGTAAAGAACAATAATTTATGAGAACAATTTACTCTTCACTTTATTCTGATTCAGGAGTAACACAATCAGGGTTTTGATCTGCACAATGTATATAATAAGCATTATAAATGCTCCTTAATACTCTCAAACACAAACACATTCTTGTGTTGCTAATAGTAACATTTGGACATAAATATCAGCTGTACATACAAAGGGGTGTTACCGGTATCTGTGGGAAAACAGTTCACTCTCCAGCTGGTTAATGACTGGAGTTACTTGATTATCTAGCAGAATAACAACTTGAATCTTACAAACCTAGTTTGCATAATTAATATGACCATTGAAGTGATGAATTTAGGTAGATCAGAACATACATGATCACTTGTCATTGTTTTTCACAACTTCACAACAAATTCATCTATTCTCACCATTTGTATCTCAATAGAGATAGTTTAAACATTCACACAGTTGGTGTATCACATAGATTATAGCAAAACTATAAACAAATTTGCACCTCAAAATCTGCATTCAAAACAGCTTAGGAAAAGACTAGTTCCAAGTTACAGGGTGACATTTGATTATAGTAGATCCCCTGCACTGATTGAGTGAATCAGTGCCGTGTAGTAGAAATTATAGAAATGCATTGCTTTAGTATGAAAATACTAAAATAAGAACAAACTAAAGAGTTCTATGAAATTACAGCGAAGGTTTTCATGGTCAATCTCGTGGGGTAGTGTTCCTAATGGCGGTGCTTGTTGTGGATGATGTTGACGACGATGATGATGAATATTGTGGCTAGATGGTAATAACCAAGTATACAAAATCAGAACTTTTTTTTTGCAAGTAGTAGCTACATAATCTGTTCAAAGTCTTATCAATCCTGATCAGCTCACTATCAGTAGTCTGATATTAACATGAATCCAAGAATCTGGTCAAGCATCCGGTCTCCAAGAATGGAAGCGTCTTTGTTGATGAATACAACATGGCCAAGGGGAGATAAGCGAGGAGAGCACTATCACATGAGAAGCTGGCAAGCAGCGCGACCTAGTGGTCATGTCGCTGCTTACTGGATGATAACGAGGCTGCCAAGGCAGCATACACTGTGTCCCAATCATCCCTCGTTAAACACCGGACTCACTGCAGCACCAGGCCTACCTGTTAACAAAGACAGAGGGGTTAACACTATTGATTGCAATATCACAGCTGCATGGCCCACAAAGATGGCAATGATGTATGAGCACACGCCCAGCAATGAGCAGTCAGTGTTTATGGTGTGTGAAGTGATGAACACCACTGGGTACCACAACACCAGAGATAGAAATCAACGAAGAACAACACCCTCAGATTATGATAACATATAGCAGTACCCACAAAGATGTTTGAATTCCAAGCCCTTAGTTAATACCTTTAATAACATTCATAAAGCTGGTCCATGCCAGCAGGCTGGTGCTCATTTCCATTCCTGTGACACTATCAGCAATGCAGCAAATCAAAGTTGAAAGAGTGGGAAGTGATGAACACCACTGGGTACCATGATACACAATGATGAACACCACTGGGTACCATGACACACACACTGATGAACACCACTGGGTACCATGACACACACACTGATGAACACCACTGGGTACCATGACACACAAAATGATGAACACCACTGGGTACCATGATACACACTGATGAACACCACTGGGTACCATGACACACAAAATGATGAACACCACTGGGTACCATGATACACAATGATGGACACCACTGGGTACCATGGACACACTGATGAACACCACTGGGTACCATGATACACAATGATGAATACCACCGGGTACCATGATACACAATGATGAACACCACTGGGTACCATGATACACAATGATGAACACCACTGGGTACCATGACACACACACTGATGAACACCACTGGGTACCATGGACACACACTGATGAACACCACTGGGTACCATGATACACAATGATGAACACCACTGGGTACCATGATACACAATGATGAACACCACCAGGTACCATGACACACAATGATGAACACCACCAGGTACCATGATACACAATGATGAACACCACTGGGTACCATGGACACACACTGATGAACACCACTGGGTACCATGACACACAATGATGAACACCACCAGGTACCATGACACACAATGATGAACACCACCAGGTACCATGACACACAATGATGAACACCACTGGGTACCATGGACACACACTGATGAACACCACTGGGTACCATGATACACAATGATGAACACCACCAGGTACCATGATACACAATGATGAATACCACCAGGTACCATGATACACAATGATGAACACCACTGGGTACCATGATACACAATGATGAACACCACTGGGTACCATGATACACAATGATGAATACCACCAGGTACCATGATACACAATGATGAACACCACTGGGTACCATGATACACAATGATGAACACCACTGGGTACCATGACATACACACTGATGAACACCACTGGGTACCATGGACACACACTGATGAACACCACTGGGTACCATGACACACAAAATGATGAACACCACTGGGTACCATGACACACAAAATGATGAACACCACTGGGTACCATGACACACAAAATGATGAACACCGCTGGGTACCATGACACACACACTGATGAACACCACCGGGTACCATGACACACAAAATGATGAACACCGCTGGGTACCATGACACACACACTGATGAACACCACTGGGTACCATGGACACACACTGATGAACACCACTGGGTACAATGACACACACTGATGAACACGACCAGGTACCATGGACACACACTGATGAACACCGCTGGGTACCATGACACACAATGATGAACACGACCAGGTACCATGACACACAATGATGAACACTACTGGGTACCATGACACACACAATGATGAACACGACCAGGTACCATGACACACAATGATGAACACTACTGGGTACCATGACACACACAATGATGAACACGACCAGGTACCATGACACACAATGATGAACACCACTGGGTACCATGACACACAATGATGAACACGACCAGGTACCATGACACACAATGATGAACACGACCAGGTACCATGACACACAATGATGAACACCGCTGGGTACCATGACACACAATGATGAACACCACTGGGTACCATGACACACAATGATGAACACCACTGGGTACCATGACACACAATGATGAACACCACTGGGTACCATGACACACAATGATGAACACCACTGGGTACCATGACACACAATGATGAACACCACTGGGTACCATGACACACAATGATGAACACCACTGGGTACCATGACACACAATGATGAACACCACCGGGTACCATGACACACACTGATGAACACCACTGGGTACCATGACACACAATGATGAACACCACTGGGTACCATGACACACAATGATGAACACCACTGGGTACCATGACACACAATGATGAACACCACTGGGTACCATGACACACAATGATGAACACCACCGGGTACCATGACACACAATGATGAACACCACTGGGTACCATGACACACAATGATGAACACCACTGGGTACCATGACACACAATGATGAACACCGCTGGGTACCATGACACACAATGATGAACACGACCAGGTACCATGACACACACTGATGAACACCACCGGGTACCATGACACACAATGATGAACACCGCTGGGTACCATGACACACAATGATGAACACCACTGGGTACCATGACACACACTGATGAACACCACCGGGTACCATGACACACAATGATGAACACCACTGGGTACCATGACACACACTGATGAACACCACTGGGTACCATGACACACACTGATGAACACCACCGGGTACCATGACACACAATGATGAACACCACCGGGTACCATGACACACAATGATGAACACCACTGGGTACCATGACACACAATGATGAACACCACCGGGTACCATGACACACAATGATGAACACCACTGGGTACCATGACACAGAATGATGAACACCACTGGGTACCATGACACACAATGATGAACACCACCGGGTACCATGACACACAATGATGAACACCACTGGGTACCATGACACACAATGATGAACACCACTGGGTACCATGACACACAATGATGAAC